TAAGAATCTTGTAACGGAATACAAAAACTGTAGACCTGGCCCTTGCGCTTATTTGGCAGCCTGGGTAGACTTTTGAGCCCTGGAGTTAGGTGCAGGCAAGAGTCTGTCCCCATCAACAGTCTAGCCGCAGTGTTTTGCACCTGCTGGAGCACCGAACCAGGCTCAAAGGTGAATTGCAATTTTTGAGTCTGGAGTTGATGGGCTTCCTTAGCAAAAAGAGTGGGGAGGTGCTGGCCCAGTCTGGATGACGTTTGCTCTGCACTGCATATGTCGAACTTTAAAACTTTCAATTTCCAAAAAAGAGAGGGTGTTAAAAAGTTGTAGTAAGGCTTAGGAATTGAAAAGATATTTTGATTAAATAAACATAATTTGGTGTTGCTTGGTAAGTAAAATGTGTGTAGAATTGCATAGAAATCATTAAAAATGATTGCCAAGTACTTGCAGTTATATATTAATATACATTTTTATTATTGTTGTTGTTTACCATTATCTGACATTTTCAAAAGGCAATATTAAAATTCTTTGGTTTTCCTAAAGCAGTTTATGTGCCTCACAAAAATAGTAGCAGATTCAAATTCCTCATACCCAAAAACGTATTTTTAAATACCCCCTGACTGAAGAAATTTGCAAAAATTATATCCCCCCCATCTAAAATGACACACCCTGAATTGCACTTGTTCTTTGCAGCTGACTCCTGTCCAAATTTTGCCTCTTGCCTCTTTGGTGAGGAGTTGGTAGATGGGTTTTGCTCCCTGTTCAGGCTCCTCCAAACTCATGGTGAATCTGAATAGAATGCTAGAATTGTAGAGCTAAACAAACTGTCTCTGCAATTCTTCCAGGTGATGAAAGTAGCGGAGAAGGCAGTGGAAGTGGCTGTGACATGCAGCAGTGCTCTCCTGAATTTGTGTTCAACGCAACAGAAGTCAAACAGAACACCAACAAAATGGACAAGAATGCCAGCCCCGGCAGTGCCTCCCCCAGGGTGGCCTCCTTAGAAGCACCTCTCCTCTTCAGCACCCTCTTTTTCCTGGCCGTGCAGAGACAGTGGAGATAACTGTGCCACTCCTTTCTTTCTTTTACTTTTTGAGGGTGGAAAATGACTGCTATTAAAACGAAACAGGCACCCGAATAGGCACCCGATTTCACTTTTGTACCATCTAGTGACTTGGGGGGGGGGCAGGGAGGAGGGGGTGTGTGATTTGTAAGTTAATGGACAGCAGTGTACAGTTTTTACCATGTTGCCGCTGGGTTTCATGAGTTTTTCCAAGATCTATCTCTCTTCTCTCTCTTCTCTCTCTCTCTCTCTCTCTCTCTCTCTCTCAATTTTTGGGAAGGGGAAGATGAACGTGAGGATTTGGACCAGTTAGTCTGACCTGTTGACTGAGAAACCACAATAGATGTGGTGAACTAAGTTGTATATACAGGCCTGTAGGTAGCATTGCTTTTGTGTTGTTGTTTTTGTTGTTTTTAAATAGCCCATTTCTCTCTTGCCTCGCCACAACCCCTTTCCTTTTATTTTATTTTAGCCTGTTCCCTGCGAAACAAATGGCTGAACCAGAGTCCTATCTTGGCATGTATCAAGGATGATATCTCGCCCCTCCCTCAAAAAAACAAAAACAAAGCACACACACACAAAAACCCAACCCACATGAAATTATCTGTACAGAAGCAAAAGGGTTTTTTTTTAAAAAAAAAATCATCATATTTCATGGGCAGTGAAAGAAGCTGCCTCTCAAGCAAACAGACACTTCTTTGTATAATGTTGAGTTCCCACATGTATCCATTACGCTCAGATGCCTTACCTAGGAGAGGAAAGGGGCTAATTTCTTTGTGGGGTGTTCCAATCTTTAGAACAGAATGTGAACGGTTAGCTTTTGCACACCTTGTTCCCAGCTGTGGAAAGCAAATCATCATCTCCGCCAGCCCTTCCCCAAGAAATTACCCAGGTGCATTTATGGCAGTGGTTCCCAGTTGGTGTTCCACAGGCCCCCAACTACCATAAGAGATACCAAAATTTTCAAAAGTAGGAGGTCCATGGCTTGGCTTTTGAAAATGGGGGGGGGGGGAGGTCTGCAGCTAATTGGGAACCATTGATATATGGGGTTCTGCCCCTCCCCCAGCTTAGAAGAGATTCCACACCCTCCCAGCACCCAATTTTTAACTGGAGCAAACATTTGGCTTCCAGAACCCCTTCCTAGTTTTGACAGTGTGGTCCCTAGGTACAATATCTGCTACGCTTCCTTGGTGTCAAACTGGGACTGCTACTCTGCAAGCTGTTTCACACAGGGAAATAGATTTAGGTCTTATCTGCTCTATACTTTTAAAGCAGTATCATATCACTTTATGACTTCAGCCACGGCTTCTTCCAAAGAATCATTGGATCCATAGTTCATTAAGCATTCTGAAAGTTGTTAGGAGACCCCTGTTCCCCTCCCAGAGCTACCAATCCCAGAGTGGTTTAACAGTTGATCCCTCTTCCCACAGAGTTCTGGGAACTGTAGCTCTTGGAGGGGAACAGGGGGTCTCCTAACAACTATCGGCACCCTTAGCAAACTGCAGCTCCCAGTATTTTTTGTAGGAAGCTATGACTTGAAGCCATAAAGTGATATGATAGTGGTTTGAATGTATACTGCTTTTCTCACCAAATGGAAAATGGGAAGACTGGTCCATGTGATGTGTTTAGACCTCTTCCAGATGTTTTGGATCACAGCTCCAGCCTTCATGGCCAACGGTTAGGGAAGATGGTTGTCACAGTCAACAGTGACTGAGGGGTAATAAGCCACATTAACAGCTGGTGGGTTTTTAATGGGTTTCCAGGAACAGACTTTTAGGCAACAGGTGAGGGTGAGAGATTTTACCGAGAGGGAAAGGAAGGAGGCTGATGTGAGGCAAAATTTGCAACCTTCTTTCTTGGAAGATCCCACTTACCTCTAACCTCAGAGGGGGCTATACTGAGGCAACGGGAAACTCCTGGATAAATGTATATATTTTTATATTGGGGGGGAAGGGGTGAACAAATAAAATCACTTTAAATAGAATGATACATGTGAAGTCTGCAGGAAGACTAAAAACTTTTCTGGAAGTTTCTCCCTAGTTCAGCCATCGTTGTGTCGCTCTGACTCTGAGAACAATTGGCTGAAGGTAAAAGAGAAAGAATGAACAAGGAACATCATCAGAGGGGGGTTTATTGCTATCCTGTGTTGTATTGTAAGCGGGGTGTGTGTGTGTGTTCGGGTTGTTCCTTCTATTTTTATACTGAAACATTAATTGCTTGGTAAACCAGGGTTGGGATTTTTGTTCACATCCCCCACCCCCCGCACTGAACCCCCCAAAAAGAAGAACTTTTATATAAAAGACAGAATTGTATTGGCTGAGATACTAAATAAATTGCTCCTGAGAGGCATAATATTTCCAGAAGTAGCCATTTATTTATTAAAACACCATGTTACTAAGCCAGACATAATTCTGGCTAGATGTTTGGTGTTTCTATTGGTTGGGGTTTTTTGCGGGGGGTGGAGGGGTCCTGTTGCTGAAAGCTGGTCACAGAAAACCTGAGAAAGGTTATAAATGTATGCATGGGAAGGAGCAGGGTGAATTGTAAATAACTGTTGCTTTAAGGAGTTGTGGGGGGAAATGTGCCGGTGACTAAGAAACTACCTCATTTCTGAGGAATTTCCCTCCCAAAGTTTTTTATTTTGTTTTTAGTGCTGTTACACTGAAGAAGAAAATACCAGCAACCAGGGCCTACAGCATACAGCCAAAGGAGTGATCCCCTACAGATCTCGTTAGATTGCTTTTAATTCTGAGCCTCAAACTAAGCCCAGCTGTTTCCCTTTTCAGTTCTTGGGCCGCACAAAAGGATTTCAGATGAGCCTTTTCTGCCAAGGGTTTCCATGGCTCCTAATGAACTGGATTTGGATGTATTACTTCCCAACCCCTTGTTTTCCTCTTTTCAAAGAAAATAATAATAATAATAATAATAATAATAATAATAATAATAATTAAAGGGGGATTGTTATATGCATTTCAGTCATGAAATAACACAAATCAACCTTATGTTCTCGGGGTTTCTTGTGAGTATGTCCCAATAAGATCTAGGTGGATAACTCCTTCGTTTTATTTTGCTGGCTGGTGGCTAATGAGCTTGCCAGCGAGATTTAAATGGGCTGCAGTGAAACATGGAGTTTCTTGGAGCCTCTGCCAGCTGGGGGCAGGCAGGGGAGTTGTGAGAAATAAAACTGAGTAGAGCTCAGAAGAGAAAACGAGCTATGGGGGAGCTTGGTCTACATACAGAATAATAGGACTTTTCTGGATCCTCAACATGGGGTCTATGCAAAGAGCCTGTCCACACCAGCGTCTTCCTCGCTTGACTCCCACAACGTTTTGTGTGGATGGTTTGGCACTGGGTTAACATCACCCAAAAAACTTCTGATATTCTCCTGAACTCCTCAAGCTCCTGTGAAGTTTACATATGTCAAAATGTGTGTGCAATTGTGAGAAGCTGGGCCACAGGGTATTCCTGGGTTGTTTTTAAAGGCTTGTAAATTATCCTCTTAAAAGGGGGGGGATAGCCCATTTGGTGTACCCAACAACAAAGCCCCCTGCCCTCAGAATTTCCATTAATCCATATATATATATATATATATATATATATATATATATATCCCTTATATATATATATGGGACATGGGTGGCACTGTGGGTTAAACCACAGACCCTAGGGCTTGCCGATCAGAAGGTCAGCAGTTCGAATCCCCGCGACAGGGTGAGTCCCGTTGCTCCATCCCAGCTCCTGCCAACCTAGCAGTTCGAAAGCACATCAAAGTGCAAGTAGATAAATAGGTACCGCTCCGGCAGGAAGGTAAACGGCATTTGCGTGCGCTTCTCTGGTTCGCCAGAAGCGGCTTAGTCATGCTGGCCACATGACCCGGAAGCTGCACGCCGGCTGCCTCAGCCAATAAAGCAAGATTAGTGCTGCAACCCCAGAGTCATGCGCAACTGGACCTAATGGTCAGGGGTCCATTTACCTTTACCTTTATATATAACTAATGGCCTACTAAGAATTATTCATTAAGTTGTTTTGATGCAGATGGGGCTCCACCATTGTAAAGCACCAAAGCAATTCCTGGAACTTGTGATATTTGAACGGACTTTCCCCCCTAACCAATAAAAGGACCGGGGGGGGGGAGTGTCCTCCATTTTATATAATAAAATAAAATGACATGGTGTCATCTAAGAGGCTACAGAAGCCGAAGTAAGCGTAGAATGATGAAATTTGCATTTCCTGCTTCTCTGTGCATGCTGTGCTGTAAATGTGAAATTTCTATTTAACTGTGAATACAGAAACACAGTGGTTGTAGAAGTTCAGTCAGGATCACTGCACCATAATGGTGGCTAAATATTTTAAAATTATGAATTTCAGTCTTGTTTTTGTTATGTGATTGAATGAGTGTCTAGTTCTCATGGAATCCTCAAAGCCACCCAGATTGCAATGTTTGCAAAAGTGTCAAGAAACAGAGGAGGTCTTGTGTCTGTATGATCCTATTAGTGCTTTTGCTCTGCTGGTGCCAGATTACACCAACAGCGCATATAAATATAAAGTCATCCAGAGACCTGAGAGCAGATTCCAGCTGAGCAGATCTCAAGCAAATTTTTTGTGCGGGGAAGATGATTTTGTGTAAGGCCCTACAGACTTCCCCGTATCCCCATAAGTGTGAAGCTAGTGCACACCAGGGGAAATGCCTCTGACATCTCTGCAATGCACAAAGGTTCCTTGGCATCAAAGGGGACATGGAAGAGGGAGAGAGCCTGAAACCTCAGGCTCTGGGAGGCTGCTTTCTTCAAAGGATCTGAAGAGAATCATGAAGATGGTGGCCAGGAGGTAATTTTATGCACGTCTGAAACTGTCGCTCCCAGCACTGAAGCCGGACTGTCTGGGAGCTCATCTGGTGGGGCTTTGCTTCACTTGGAAGGGGGCCTGTCTGCATTGCGCCCACTCCTTAGGAGGTCCTATGGGGGATGGAGGTGGTTGCTGCTCATGACTACATCCCCACACATGTTTGTCAGCTGGCTGGCTGCAACATATGCCCAGACGCCTTGCTTTTGAAGTTCTGCCTTATGCAACAAGTTAAAAAACAGTGGGGCATTTGGGGTGAACATGAGCTGGTCAAAGTAGTCCAGGAATCTTCCAATTTTTGAAATTTAATTTCAATTTGCAGTAGGAGGGCCAGGGAGGGGGGCATGTGGAGGCCATCCTAGGTTTCCCAACATCAGTTTTCCTTCTCTCTTTGGGGCAAGTGGTGAATAAATTGTTGCAGCCCACTCCCTGCTTGTGTGCCATAATTCTTCCTTTGAAGCCCAGTTCAAATTGAAGCTGTTGGGCTGAAAAAGGGGGGGGGGTTCTCAGGTCAGACATCATATAAGGCTTAGGAAAGGTGGGTATGGTTAGCCCAAAATAACCCAGGATTGTGGACTAGAGTGTAGAGTTGCATTTCCAACACTATAGGAAGCAGAAGATTTGCACTGCAGATGGTCAAAACTAAAAATAACCCGCTGCAATTACCAAAGAGGTATGCAAAAGCAAAATGATCAAGGGCTGAAGCAATTCCCCATGAGGAATAGTTGCAATGTTTGGGGCTTTTTAGTTTAGAGAAGAAAATTATTCAACAAGGCAGGTAAGTGGGGGCAGGATAAAGGGATATAAGATTCTGCATGGCATGGGTAAAAGGAGCTAAAAACCTTTCTCCTTCACATCATAGCAGAGCCTGGGGTAATAGCCAAAGCTTTAGATTGTTAGGGTGATTCTGGACAAATAAAAAGAAGCACTTCCCCACACAGCACTATGGAACTCACTGCTACAAGATGTAGTGTTGGCCCTCAAGTTGGACAGTTTAGACAAGCTCATAAAGGACAAGGCTGCTCGCTCTCCTCTTGACACCGGCTGCTGGGAATCAAGCGCAGGAGAGAGAGATTGCACTCTGGTCCTGCTTGTGAGGTTGGCGCCCATGAATGCAGGATGCTGGACTAGATGGGCCTCTGGGCTGACCAGGCCAGGCTCGTCTAAGTTTTTATAAATAGGGCTGTCATGTGATTATTAGGGTTTTTAAGCCAATTGAATAAAATGAGTTTGAATTAAATGGAGCTGCTTAGATGCGCAGAAATTTGCATATAATTAAAACAGGAAAACATGCCTCTATGAATTGTGGATGACTGCATCAGGGTCCCTTTTAAAAGAGGCATTTAATCTCTGAGTGCCTCTCTAAACACTGTACTGGCTTGTAATTCCCCCCCAAGTGCCTCTGTTACAAGTAGTTTGTTCCTCTTTTTGTAAGTGCCTGACTAATTGAGATAGTCCATTAAAGGTTGCAGCTTTAGCTATTAAAATATATTCTATGCAACTGTTAAAGAACTACGCTCACTTGCATTTGATTCTCCCTCCCCTCACCCAGACTCCTTCCTTTTCTCTCCCTCTCTCAGCTTTTCTCCTCTTCAAAAAGAACCGCAGAATTGTGGAGACCCCACAATGATACACCTTATGTCAGGACACAAAGTCCTTGTGGGTTTCAGGCCACTGGATGAAGATCAGGTTTGGAGGTAGTCTGGGAATCACGGGGGGGGGGGGGAGCACTCGTGATCATGTCCTGCTTCCATGTTTTTCCAAGGCATCTGGTTGGTGACTGTGAGAACAGGGTGATGGATGGGTCTTTGGCCTGATCAAAGAGTCAGATGCTTTGTTCTCACTGGTCCAACACTGTTTTCTGTCTCTGCAATGTGGTAAGGTCCTTTCTGCCCATTTCATTCCTTGATCTAGCATGTGTAGGATGACCTCTCATCAAGGAGATTTCTGTTACATCTCTCCACTTTGGAGTGTGTGTGTGTGGTTCCAGAGTGTGCAACTTTGCAGCCACTCCAGCATGCCAATCTGTGCACATGAACTTGGACGAAGAGCACATCTGGCCACAGTTTTGCTTTACAAAGAGAAATGCTTCTGCTTAAGTGCAATACTTTAGAACAATTTTCTTCTTAAAAGTGGGGTGGGAAATCATAAGGCTGAGTGAAAACAAGCTTTCAAAATATTAAAAAAGTCAAAACTGCTCCCCCTAACATAGCTTTGTTCTGTGGGCTTTGCAGACACCATGTGATTTAAGGAAGTGTGCATGTGTTTATTGGAGGCTGCAGGGATGGCTCTCTATTACCCAGACTGGAGCTGCTGCCTCAGACAGGAACATTAGGGAGCAAAAAGCAGCAATGAGGTGCTGAAGGAGAGCGCTGCGTCTTGACACCCACAGCTTCCTAAGTTCTTGGGCTACACCAAAACATCCTGGAGGATCCTGATCTTTTGCCAGCATTACAGTAAGATTCAACTCCTGACCTGACTGATGTCTGCATACAAAATTTGGAGGGAGCACACTGGTTATCTCAGGTATCAAAAATTTTGAGACTGGCCCTGGGTGTCTTGTTTATTCCACTCTAGTTTTGCTAGCCCCAAGGGTGGGCTCTTCTCTTCTCAAAATGTCAGAGTCCCTTTCGTTGTTGTTGTTGTTGTTGTCTTTGGCAACCATCTGTCTCGAGAGACAATGGAGTGTGTCTCCATGGTGAAGCCAAACCACTGCATTAGTAGCACCGAATTGACCTCCCCAAGGAGCAAGCCTGGGCAATGTGCATAGAGATCCTGAGCTGCCCAGAGGACAAGACCTCCCATCCTTCTTGGGCTTGCTGATGTGGTCCAAAGGAAAGCAGAGCAAGATGTTTGGCATCAACTTGGCTGCAGGAGTTGCCGGAACGAGGTGCACAATGCACCATCCAACTGTCCTAGGGACTCCACATTGGATTTGTGTAGGGCCTACTCCTTGGTATTTTCTTTTCCTGAAGATATCCCACAAGGCAGTGGAGATTTGGGATCAGAGTTTTCCTTCTCCTAGATGGGCTCCATCTCCTTCTCATTTCCATCTTCAGAAACAGCCTTCTTGACCATTGGACCCACTCTTGATCTTGTCTGTTCTATCCATCAAAACCTGTCTTTGCATGTAGAGGAAGTCTCTAACTCACCCAGGGTTTGAGATCCATCGACTACCCTTATCTAGTTTAGCCAGACAGTTAAATCTGTTCCCAGGGTATGACCACTGTCATGAGCAAACTACTTCAGAAGAAGTCCCGTAACACCCCATACACCCTTTCTTAGTCACTGCAAATAATATTCAGCAACTGTTCTGGGGTGAGAGATTTCAGTGTGTGCCATCCACACACTTTCATGAAACCTTTGCAGTGATCAGGACTAGAAACACTGGGTTTTGTTTTGTTTTGTTTTGTTTTGTTTTGTTTTGTTTTGTTTTGTTTTGTTTTGTTTTGTTTTCATAACTGCACTGGGTTTTGGACCTGGAGGGCTGGGGGAGGAATATAGCTTAGTGACAGAGTGCAGAAGGTCCCAGGTTCTATCTATCCCCAGTGGAATCTCTAGCTAGGGCCGGTAAAGAGAGCCCCTGCTTGAAACCCTGGAGAGCTGCTGCCAGTTAGTGTAGACCTTGTTTAGCCAGATGGAACACAACAGCCTGACTCAGCATAAGGCAGCTCCGTAAGTTCCTCTGGCCATCCTGCATTTGGACTGCAGTTTTGCTGGGGATGGAGCAGAAGGCTTGTGATGATTCATTCGATGTGTATTAATAGTACCATCAAGATAATGTTTTTTTGTCTAGCTGTGCAGCACCCAATCCCAGCAAACCCAAATATTGCACTCTCCATCTGGCTTGTGGCTGCTTCTTCAGCAAAGGAAGCTTTGAGGAATTGTTTGGAAAGAACACTGTACAGCACGTTCTGCTGAGGAGAAAAACCCATGGGCTTTTCATCCAGGAGGAAAAAAGTTTTTTTGCCTTCTTGCATAGTGATGTGGATGTGGGCCAATTCATTACCAGGAATGACCCAGCCCATAGCAGTTGGAAGGTTGGTGCCCTCCTTCTGAAGAGGCCTGTGGGTGGAGAGGGGCTTATTCAGCCTTTTTCATGGCTGTTGGTTGGATATATCCTTCAAGTCCTGGGCTGGGTTAACTTTGCGCCAAGAATGCAAGAGTGTTCCTGGTGATGCTTTTGCACATGGGGAGGGAATCTTTAACATCTCTTTTCCTTGTGGAAGTTGCCCCTGAGGAAAGGTGGTTTTCTTAATTAGAGGGGCTGCCTTCATTGTTGTTTCTTTATTTTCTCAAGGTTTGCAACAAAAATCCCTGTGATCCTCTCAAAAGTGAAAACATATCTCAGGAACAGGTGGCGTGTGAAGCCCTATAGACAGATGTTTCTGGACTCCACCATTCTTGACTGCTGGCCATGCTGCTGACGGTTGATGGGGGTCCATCAGCCCCGGAAGGCCAGAGGCTTCCCACCCCCCAGCACAATATTTTCTCAGTCCTGACATTTGGTTATTACATTAGATGTGTTTGTTTATCTAACGAGTGCTGAGGAAGATGGTAGTTCACTGACTTCTGATATGACTTCCAAGACACACTAAGTTTTTATGAAAAATGTCCATTTTGGTTCCCAAAGTCCTAGCTCTGACCAGTGAGTGCAGGTGATTCTCAACTTATGCAGAGGTTATGGTCCGGGAGCAGTGCCTAAAGCTAAAATCATGTAAAATCATGTATAGTCAAAGCACACTTTCCCTGCACCTCTGAATGCTGCACCGTGCCGGTAAGAGGGGCGCCATGGGCTGGATAGACGAGCCCTGTGGGCCACTGCCGACCCACGGGCCTTAGGTTGCCAACCCCTGATCTAAACCAATCTGGAGGGCATACAGATTGCTTTTCAGTTTCACCAGATGTCCACCCCCATATTTAGCCTGGCTTGGTGAGTAATCCAAAGGAAACACTATTAACTTCAAAGGAATGCAGTCAGTTCTTACAAGGTTCAGGGCTGACTCCAGGTGGATCTGCTAACTATTTGCTTTTGAATCAGTGGTTCGGTTGGGTATGAATCAAATGCCTGCCAAAATTGGATGCCATTTCCAGAGGAACAGCCCTGTTAATCTTTTGCAGTAAAAGCAACCAAGAATCTTCTGCAACCTTAGAGACTAACAAATAAGCTCTCTTGGGCTACAGTTCAATTCAGCTGATGCATGAAGTGTTATTCTGAGCTGCAGGAGGGGGAGGGGGTTGTAGAAAGTGAGGTCAGGGGAGTGAAATGCAGACAGTAATTATATAATTAACTGTGGTAGTATGTTTTTTTAGAAGAAGAAGAAGAAGAAGAAGAAGAAGAAGAAGAAGAAGAAGAAGTTGTTTTTGATGACACAGTCGTCCTGGAATTGTTAAACCAATTAACATATATGATATGTTAAAAATATTTCAGTCAAGTTCATTCCACAAGCGCTAGCTTTGAATCTCTTGGTGTATTGTAACTCAGCAGTTTCATGTTGAAGTCTCCCTCTAAAGTCCATGGCAGAGTGTCCTGAAAGTCAGAAGTCTGCCCTTAATGGGTTTTGAATCTTGCCTTTTCTGATGTCAGATCTGTTCCAATTTATTCTGTTTGCAAATATTCTGACCTGTAGAATCAGAAGAGCATTGCTAGCAGGTGGGTGGATTTACAAAGGAATACTGCTTTTGATACTAGAGGCAGACCATAGACATCCTGGCTAGTAGCCATTGATAGACCTCTCCTCCAATCCTCTTTTAAAGCCATTTAAGTTGGTGGCCATCACTGCCTCTTGTGGGAGAGAGTTCCACAGTTTCACTATGTGTTGAGTGAAGACAGCCTTTCTTTTATCTTCCAATGTCTGAGTATCAATGTTACAAGAGGGGAGGACTTTCTCTGTCCACGTTCCCCATGCCAGACATCTTCTTACCATCTTGCCTCTCACTCACCTTTTCTCTGAACTAAAAGGCCTCCGATGCAGCAACCTTTCCTCATAGGGCAATTTTGTCTCTCTTCAAGCCCAGTGCTCCTGCCTGGGATCACATCTGGCGCAGCTTGCTCCCATTCCATTGCCAGGGGAGGAAATTTATTATTGTACTCCTATCTCTGTTCTGTCCTTCACCATTCCTGTTTCCAGAGATGCTTACAGCATGCAACATTAACGACAATAAAACACAACATCCAATAAAATGCAATTGCTAAAACAGAGAAAAAACCAACCCCTAAAATGCAAACTATCTTTATGAACTGAGCAGGCAGACTCCCTGTTTCGTTTGCAGCTGGCCAGACAAAATAAAGCCCCTGTAAAAAGCCTTGACAGCATTTTCAACTGGGCACAGAAAGGTAACCAGCATTGGCGCAGGTGGTGAAGCAGAAGGCACAAAAGTGGGCAGAGCAATTAATATAAATCCCTAACCCTTGGTGCAGGGACTCAGAAGTCTCTAGACTCTGCTTGGGCAGGCAAGAGGTACAATCAGGGTTCAAGGACAAGGAGGATGTGCAGTGGGCTTGGGGAGAGGTGTGGCCTGAGGAGAATCCCAGGATAGTGTTCAGCCCCTGATGACTTGGTTGCCCACCCCTATTGTTTTAGATTGTAAGTGTAATGGGGCAGAGACCTGTCCTCTTGTACAGTGGTGCCCCGCAAGACGAACGCCTCGCAAGACGGAAAACCCGCTAGACGAAAGGGTTTTCCGTTTTGGAGGCGCTCATAAGCAATTTCCCTATGGGCTTGCTTCGCAAGACGACAGCCCATAGGAAATCTCAGGGACAGCGGGAAGCGCAGCGCGTCTTCCCCACTGTCCTCGGACCTCCTCCGAAGCCTGGCGGCGGGGCGGGGACACCTCCTCCCGCCGCCGCCGGGCTCGGAAGGCTCCTCCGAGCCGGGCGGGGGGAGGGAACACCTGCCGCCGCCGCCCGGCTCGGGCGGTGCTCCGAGGCCGGGCGGGGAGGAACACCTGCCGCCGCCGCCCGGCCCGGGCGGTGCTCCGAGCCGGGCGGGGGGAGGGAAGACCTCCGCCTCTGCCCGGCCCGGAGCGGTGCTCCGAGCCGGGCGGTGGGGAGGAAGACCTCCCCGCCGCCCGGCTCGGAGCGGTGCTCCGAGCCGGGCGGGGAGGGAACACCTGCCGCCGCCGCCCGGCTCGGAGCGGTGCTCCGAGCCGGGCGGGGGAGGGAAGACCTCCGCCGCCGCCCGGCCGGGACGGTGCTCCGAGCCGGGCGGGGGAGGGAAGACCTTCTGAAGGCGGGCGGGGGCGAAGGTGCTTTGCTCCCCTGCCTGCCTGTCCCGGAGGGCTTTTGAAGGCGGGGAGCAAGACTTTCGCCCCCGCCCGCCTTCAGAAGAGGTCCAGGACCTCTTCTGAAGGCTGGCGGGGGCAAAGTCTTTGTCCCCTGCCTGCCTTCCCAGGGCTTTTAAATTGCCCCGGGACAGCGGAGGACTTCTCCGCTGTCCGGGGTGATTTTAAAATGCCGCCCGCCAGCATTTTAAGATCGCCCGGACAGCGGAGAAGTCCTCCGCTGTCCCGGGGTTTTTTAAAATGCTGGGGGTGGGAAGAAAAGCCCTTGCCCCCCCCCCAGCCTTCAGAAGAGGTCCGGGGACAGACTGTCCCCGGACCTGGTCTGAAGGCGGTTTCCCTAGGAACGCATTAATTGATTTTCAATGCATTCCTATGGGAAACCGTGCATCGCAAGACGAAAAACTCGCAAGACGAAGAGACTTGCGGAACGAATTAATTTCGTCTTGCGAGGCACCACTGTACTATGAACCTGGGGCTGATGGGAATCACATTTATCAACATCTGGAGGGCACTACATCCCGGCGGCTGGTAAAGGGTCATGCACCCTGATGGTGCTGTAAAAATAATTAGAGTTCCATGACACTGGTCCGCCGTGAAGGCCTGGTGCCACCTTCACACCAAGGGTTGTGAGCTTGCCATTCCCCAGCGTGTTTGCTCCTTGTCTGAGCAGTTCCCCACACACCACTTGGGGATACGAGAGGCTTGCAGGCTCAGTGGGGCTTCCTATTGAGGAATGCCTTCTGCATGTATTTCTGCACAAATAGTTGGCCACAGAAAAAGGGATGTGGAATTTCTGTTATGAACTGAATAAACATTATGTCACAGGCCGTTTGGATTTAATGAATTCTGACTCACTTTAGATGGCTTAGGCGCACTTAGTTTCCAAGGCACAAAGATCATGTGATCTTTTCCTATAGCAATAAGCAGATTGAAAACCATAATTGCCAAATAATGATTTCCACTAGAGCACTGATAAATGTTACAGGAGAGTTGGCCAAGAAATCCATTTAAAATTATTAATTTTTCAGAAAAGAGGTTTTCGGGTTTTGTTTTCTTTATTTAAAAAGCCACTTTAAAAGTCTTGTGAAAATGTTTCAATTTGTTCAGTAATTTTTCAAAAGGCATGTGAGCAATCATAAATATGCCGTGAGTGAGCGAGGGCCAGGTCAACAGGTGAGAATGCTAAACAGTTGTAATGAAAATAAGTTAAGGATTTCAAACTAAACAAGACCCCCGCCACACTGAATTACAGTGCATTACAAGGCCTTTTATTTTGTTAGGAGCTGGTCTGTGTGTTGAGAAAGAAACCTCAGACTATGAGTTCCTCTAGCTGAGGTTTGGCTACACTGCTGTGCTTTTGTACCTGGCAAAAGGAGCTGTGCTCTGACTCTTTGTACGTTTGTATCAGTAGACTATCTACACAAAATGCATGTGTCTTCACACACACACACACAGACACTTTTTTCTCTCTCTCTGCTTTCGAAATGGTCAGAAGCACTCCAGGATGTTATGGAGAAAGTCAGTGAAGGGTTAGCTTGAGAAGGAGGAGTGGCTTGGTGGGAATCCCAAGGCCCCCTTGGAAAGACCTGGAGGGCCATATCTGGACCTTGGCCCCGAGTTATGTCAGACAATCCCAGTCTATACATGAAGTGATTGATTGGGTGTATCAAAGAGCCATCACAATTAACTGCACCCAAAACTTTGGTGTGGCCCATTGTCAATTTGGGAGGCCACTGCCACCTGTGGCAGTCATTAGTGGATGTGCAACCACGTGACGGTACATGAACCAAGCCTTATGTGCGCAGCATAGGTGAAGCTGTTTTAGGTGCAGCATCCAAGAGTATTAAAAGAACTGGCAGATGTGATCTCAGAACCACTGGCAGTCATCTTTGAGAATTCCTGGAGAACAGGCGAAGTCCCGGCAGAGAGATATTTCTAGATTTGTCTGGCAGGGCAAGAAGCCCAGAATAAAATTTAAGATATTAACTGATGCCAAGGAAAGAGGTGGATTTGCCCTGCCAGACCTTAAACTTTATTATGAATCAGCAGCTTTTGCTGGCTGAAAGAATGGCTACTTCTCGAAAACACAGACATTTTGGATCTAGAAGGTTTTAACAATGTATTTGGATGGCATGCATACTTATGGTATGATAAGGTCAAAGCACACAAAGCATTCAAAAACCATATTGTCAGGAAAGCATTGTTTAATGTCTGGATAAGATATAAGGATTTATTGGAAAATAAAACCCCAAGGTGGCTGTCACCAATGGAAGCAAAAGCTCTGAAAAGGCTCAATATGGAGGCCAAATGGCCGACATATTGGGAAATTTTGGAGCAAGAAGGAGATAAATTGAGATTGCAGAGTTTTGAAAAACTAAAAAATAAAGTGAGAGATTGGCTTCATTACTATCAGATAATGGAGGCATATAATTTGGATAAGAAAATAGGCTTCCAGGTGGAAAAGTCAAAATTAGAAACAGAATTGTTAGAACCCAAAACTAAAAATCTGTCAAGAATGTATAACTTGCTGTTGAAATGGAATACTCAGGATGAAACGGTGAAATCTGCTATGATTAAATGGGCACAAGATGTTGGACATAATATTATGTTTGCTGACTGGGAACAGTTATGGACCACGGGTATGAAGTTTACGGCATGCAATGCCTTAAGAGAGAATATTATGAAAATGATATACAGGTGGTACATGACCCCAGTCAAGCTTGCAAAAATTTATCATTTGCCCGATAATAAATGTTGGAAATGTAAAGAAACTGAAGGTACATTCTTTCACCTTTGGTGGACGTGCCCAAAGATCAAGGCTTTCTGGGAAATGATATATAATGAACTGAAAAAGGTATTTAAATATACCTTTCTGAAGAAACCAGAGGCCTTTCTTCTGGGCATGGTGGGCCAATTGGTGCCAAAGAAGGATAGAACCTTTTTTATGTATGCTACAACAGCAGCAAGAGTACTCATCGCAAAGTATTGGAAGACACAAGATTTACCCACTTTGGAAGAATGGCAGAT